CAGGGCTGTTGTGAGGACTGATTAAACCATCATGACAGTGCAAATGGTAGTTATGTAAGTGCTAATTGTTGCTTAGCAATCACATCAGAAAGGCCAACAGCTGAGGACACCTGCAGGTTACCTTGCCTGCATCTGCAGCAGCAGTCCTAGCAAGCTCCATTTCTGTGGGTTGATGGAACAACGTGGAACACTTCCATTGACACTGTCTGGTTCCTAAAAACCATTCACAAATGCTAAATTCAGAGGAAATATTTTGTACTCTTTAGAACTTCTTTCTCACAGCAACTCTGGGACTACTCTTGAAGCTATCAAAGATGCTTTCTAGGCTGCAGTTTGAGTGCAGAGCTCCAGATACCTAACTGCTGCTGCTTTATACTTCCCTGAGTTTGTCCTTCTCGCTCACAGACCTAAACACAGTTGGCTGCATCAGGCAGATCCATTTTTCATTTCCTCTGAACTACTAATTGCTTTGATTACCCTTGAGCTGTAAGCAACTGCAAGTATTTCTGGATTCACAAATCTCATTGTGGTTCTCGCTGGGAGGAGGCACTGGTATTTTACTGTTAGGAAAAGCAAGCTTTCTATCCAGAGTACACTGCTGTTGCTGAGCCTGACGAGCAGGACTAAGCTTGGACAGTGACATAACCACGACACTCACAAGTTTTGTTTTCTTTCACAACAGCCACTCGCTTCTGCCAAACCACTCCCTTTGCCCAGGCTGCCAACTGGCAGCACAACACAGGACCCACTCGAGCAATGGGTTTGCTCCACATTAACCTTTCAGATGGGTCAATGGTTTGAAAACTCATTACACAGTCCATATTTGTATATCTTTTTTCCTTGCCAGTGTCATTCTTGCAACATGAGGAGGCTCTACAGGACAGCAGACTGTGCCATTATTTCATTTAAAGAAGCAGAACTGTCTTGCATTCACTGTGAGCCATTTGCAATAAAAATAAAACCTAGCTATTTTTGCCAAATTACATTTCTAGACAAATTCACTAGAAGCAGCACATGAAAAACAGCTGCTGAAGGCTGTCCTTTGCACTCATCACAAACTTTATCATTGACTACAGGGCCAACAGTATTTCACCTAAAAAAAAATAATAATAAATTCACAAGGCGAAATTCCTGTAGTTGCAGCAGTTACGTTCTGAGGTAACTTATCTATCAAAGTTCTTCTAATAGCTATGGGCACAAATGATTTAAGAGACAGCAGTTTGCATGCTTTCTTGCACTAAGCTCACAGCAGACTCAGACCTACCATTACGTAGTTACAGCCACTTTTAGAAATGCCACAGACCCCTCTCTGGAAACGATGGGGTTGGATAGCAGGGTTGGTTCCCCTGCCAGGCTGATTTGATGCTGTTCTTTACAGATTCTTCCTATAGGAAGGCACCCTTCCTCTAAGACGCTCTCCTCTCCTACTGCAGCGCTGCATTCTTGAGCCGTTTGGGTGGAAGATGGTGTCAGCAGGCATTAGCAGAGAACGCAGCTTGCCAATGCTTCACCTGGGTTTAGTTTGAAACACAGAGACATTTTCTTTAACCTGATCTCATGTTTTCTGCTGCGAGTCCTTCCAAGAAATTTCCATTATTTCACGTGAATTGAAAATCCAGCTGTGAAAGCTAATGGCATTATGAAAACAAACAGGCAGGACAACACTGAAATCATTCTAAGAATCAAAGCGCACCTGTATCCAAAATTCAACAAGCATTTTGTGTTAGCTACTGCTATTTTTAACAAACTATCTCACCAAGAGGAAGGATTCCTTCTTCAGAAACATCTCTCCATTTTGAATGTAAGTAGAAAGGTACAACTAAAATTTACTGCGAATATAGCATTAAAATGACATTTAAGAAACGCTGGGGGGAATTTCACTGGAACACCTTTGGTCTTGCTTCACAGTGACACGTGGCTCAACACTTAAACAGACCAAGCAGGAGCATTTGCTTTCCTGCCTTTTCCCAGTAGAACCAGGCCTGTAATTTTACAGAGAGCTTCTCACGCACCGTTATTTCCAGACACTTCATTCTGCCTTATGGGATAACAAATCCACTGCAATTTAGGCAAAGCCTGCACTGATCTGGATTAAGACTGCAGAATTTTTGCCAGGATTGCAGCCTAATTCTTCTCTGTGTGACATCAACACAGCCTCCTGGCACAGGCTTCTGCTGAAGCAGGCCTGGAGCCCCGCTTCTATTATTATTATTATTATTGGGTTTGTCTGATTTTCCTGAAAGCAAAAATCTGGGGGAGGATTTTCAAAGCAGCACAGTAGATCCAAGCGCACTGCCGGCCCTCTGCTCCCTTTCTACAGGCTTTAGCCCACTGTGAGAAAAACTGTGGCTGAATTAAACCTCTTGACATTACTCCCCATGTCAGAGTTTGTTGAGTTGCTTTGTGGGAAGATTCTGCAGGATACTGATATCTCTTCATGAAGCACTCAAAAATATTTCTATTGCAGTTTGCACGTTTGGCTCAATTGTGAGTTTTGTTTAGTTTTCTTTTTTTTTTCTTCTCTGCTCCACATTCATAGCATTGGATGTTGGGTAGATTTCTGTATTTCCAGCAGCATAATATCATCAGAACCTCGCCTACAAAGAAAGAGCAATTGGGGGGGGGGAAGAAGAATAGGCCAGGTGTTTGAAGAAAAGACAAAAGAAAGGCACAGTAGGGTGTTCTGACTCACAAATCTGTATTGAGAAAGAAGTATTCATGAAGAAAATTAATTTAAGAAGTATGTAGTTCGGGTTTTGAGCCCACAGTTCCTTTCAAAAACAGATTAGCGATTAAAAACTTTTTTAGTCTAGCAATCTCTTAAACAATTAGCACAGTAATTGGAAAGGGACTACAAATTCAAATCTAGATAGACATAAAAGAGTTTCCCCATAGAGCTTTGCCTTGGTTTTGTGGGCCACTGGCATGCACCTGCCTTTACCATCAGTAGGGCTGAAATACTGAAAAAGTACTTTGAATAGGGATAGAAATGCCCCAAACAGTAATACCATACAAATTACTTAATTCATGTAAAGTAGTGGTAATTGTATTGATTATGAATGTGTGAGTGATTCCTTTATTTCAAGTTATATGAGACAACATATAACAAATACCAGCAGCTTGTAATGGGGTCCTCACTGCAGATTTGCCAACCATAGGGGGTGCGATGTCACTTTCCTCCTTATTCTGAAGGATAAATCTGGCTGTGCTGCCACTTGGAAAGAGAGAGCTGCTAACTTTAAACAGGTAAATAAGAATTTCTCTACTTATAGACTTTCTATCTATAAACTTTTCTCCAGTCTGGAAATAATCCTGCTCAACTTGTTTACCAAAAGTTGCCTGAAGTGAAAGGAAAAGGAAGGTAAGGGAACAAGACTCCAACCTTATGATGTTTTTCCCAAATCTGAATTCTTTTTTTTTAATTTTCCTACTATTGAGGATTTTAACAACTCATTTGTTTCCAACCCTTTATTTTATACGCCATGGATCACAACTAGTTGAAGCTTAGATTGCCAGAAGAATAAAAGAATTATATTAAAAAATATTGCACAACATAATTATATTTACTTTCAGCAACTTTCTGAGTTTTAACTTCCCATGAAGCTGCACGAACAAAATACATGTAAGAATAGGAAGTACGGGATAATATGCATGCCACTTGTACTTCACTTACACAGTGGCCCAAACTACACAAAATGCTGGTAAGGACAGAGCATTTCTATCTATTCTATGTTCAAGCAGCTCTACACACACATTACAAGGAAACCCAGCCAGCAGGTCGTGCTACAGCCCACCCACACCTGTGTGGAGCTGCCCACAAACACACAGCTGCATGAATGCACCCAGGACTTTAATTAAAGTCTCCACGCACACGTGCAAAGCATGAAAGTGAAATTACACCTGAGCCACTGTCAGCATGAAGGACAGATCTGAGCTTCTCACCTCACATCACAAATGCCTCCCATTGCAGAGGATTGCAAGTGCCCAAGCCATTTCTACTGCAGGGAAATGGAAGCCATAGGCAGGGGTGGGCAGGAGGCCCAATGGAACACAAGTTGCAGAGCTGCCACTGAAGGTCCAGTAAGGCTACTGCCCTCATTTTCACCTTCTGTTGTTTTTCAGAGTCAGATATCTCCGTTCAAGAAAAACAAAAAACAAAACAAAAAAGAAAACACCTTTTTAAACATGGCATGAAATTTTGTCATTTATTGGAACTTCAGGGTCCCTTCCAACCCAATTCTGTGGCTGCACTGGACCTCTCCCGGCCAGCTGCTGGGAAGCCATTGGCTGCTCACTCTCTCCCCTCATCCTCAAGGGAGCAAGGGGAGAAAAGCAGGGCACGGGGGCCGTGGGCAGCCCCAGGAGAGCACTTCTTGACTGCTCCTTCCTCCACAATGCTGCAACCAGGGCCTCCACGGGCCTCAGCCATCACAGAGCGCTCCAGCACTCCCCACAGCTGCATTCCTTTGAGGCACATCCATTACTGCACCTTGGGGTCTGCAGGGGCCAAGGGAGCTCCAGGCCTGGAGCACCTCCTCCCTGACCCCGCTGCTACATGGCTGTTCCTCACACTTTTTCCTTTCACCTCACTCACTGCAGAGCGATTATTTTGCTTCGTCTCATACTTGCCTTTGCTGAGGCACCCCCAGCATTTCTGCTGATCCCAGCCAAGCCCTGTGTCTGGGTCCTCTCCTTTCATCACATGGCCACGCTGCCCCCCACCCCTCATGCATTTGTTTTATTAGCAAACGCAGGGACAAACATCAGAGGACCGAAGACATTTAGTCCAGCAGTGTGCCAAGGCACAATTAAGGGGTGATACCCTGCATTATAACTTCATGTTAATTTAGTTTGTTGGCTGCAAGGCTTCTTACATCCCAGCTGGAGAGGAACTGCTTCACGAAGGCCGGTGGGAAGTCACTGAAAGATTGGAGTGAGCTGCAAAGTCACACTGATGGAGTAGAAAAACTTTGACATTAAAATATATATACATACTAGAATGGAAGGTTGTGGATTTTATTATTTTAGAGAAGCTACCTTATCAGTAATGATCTGCAGAAAAACTAGGACAAAATACTTGATGTGGCTGTCCAAACAAAAACTAAAGTCTTTGGTGTGAGCTGCATGGTGACATTATTGTGAACTAAAGCAGAAGCAGACAAGACAGCTTGAATTACAGTTTCATCTGGTTCAGAAGGGTTGCTAGTAAAATGCGTTTAGGTGATCTGCTAAAGAAAAGAATACATTGCATTTTGTAAGAACCCAGTCACAGCTAGAGATTTTGACAAAAGTTGACTTTCACACACAATTAAACATAATAATTTCAGTTTTCTAGTTTCATACAAGCTGATCCACAGACTGCCCTATCTCCAGGGTTATTTTGTACTGATAAAAAATCATGGGATTAATGTTTGTGAAAGAAGACAAGAGAGGACAACATTATTATAGCCTTATTTTCTGTGTATCCCAAAGAGAATACAGGAAAATAAGTGAAGCAAGCAGCCATGTTAATGTATGAGAAGAGCCTGAAGACGGTTTCTCATCAGTAAGTTATCAGAAGCAGCTAAGTCTTACTTCTGCTGGCATGTTCTCAAACTGATCTAGTGGAGAAGTTGCTGACTGAAGCAATAAAACTTTTTTCTGGTGTTTTAGCAGTGGCAGTGGAAGCTTTCACCTTCTAACTAAGACAGAGAAGGAGCAGGGAGCTGCACACGGAGGACACAGGAGGAGATGGAACACATTCACACACTGTGGCTTCTGCTTGGAGAATTCATGGAGCGCACTCCTCTGAGCCCAGTTCTTCAAACAAGCAATCCTCCTAAGCAGAGCAGAAAGGAGTGCTAAGGACAGCGGTAAGGACATGAAAACAGCAGCTCAAGGCACTACTATAGAGCATACAGGAAAGTCTTGATTTTAAAAACAAGAACACAACCTGCATCTCAGTTTCTCATCCCAAGCCCAAGTGACAGCAGGAGAGAACCCCACTGGTTGTTTCTAGCACGGACATGGCCATTACTAATGAGTCTTACAGATTTTATCTCATTAAGCTGCCACTTCAAGAGCAGCTACTCTTGAAAACACATAAGACAAGCACACATCTATGCTGCAGATCCACAGTGACCACAGCTTCCACAAGCTGGTCTTGAGCTTCAGTTGAGGTCACAGCCAGGAGGTGTGCAGATGTGGTATGAAGGGACATGGTATAGTGGGCAGCATCGGTGGTAGGTGGACAGTTGGACTAGGAGACCTGGGAGGTCTTTTCCAACCTTGCTGACTATACGAGCTGGCCAGCAGCAGCCAAGGTTCAGGAACTTCAGTCACACTGTAAGGACACCAATCATAGCTCAGTGGAAATAGAGGGACAATTCACTATTAGACAATATCACAATTCACTTGAAAACTTCCTTCAGTTCACTGCTTCACCCCTGCTCTGCAGGCTCCTGTGAATATATAGTTAATTCTGAAACTTGCAGTTGTGAAACCCTCCAGTCTGTAAACTGAAAAAGGCTGGAAACTCACAGTGCTCATCTGAAGCAAGCACCTTTCCACTGAGGGCAGAGGAAAGCAGCACACACTTCTGCAGTAATTTACCTAATGCAAGTCAAGATGCACTTCTCACATGCGACAGGCAAAGGAAACAGAGTCATACCTCAGGAAACGCTACAAATATTCATTTCTCGATGTCAACAGAGGTTTTCAATATTTAACATCTGTGAAGTATCTAAAAGCAACCCCCTTTTGTGATTAAAATTAAGCCTTACTATTATTATTAAGGTTTGTTTTGTTTTCTGCTATCAGACCCTTTGCAAAAATAAAAAGAAAATGCAAAGGCTTATTGACACAATTGTTTACAGCCTCAAAACTGAAGCATTCAGCAGATTTGCTTATGGAAGAACATTTGGATCCAACAGAAAGAAAAGACATTATCCCCATCCTGCCTTTGACAAGGTGGTGTCCATTCACATCTCCCCAGCATCCCCAGCAACACAGTGTCTTTCATGAGAAGTTCTACACAGCAGTAATGACTTAGGTAGAAAGACAAAAAACCCAACGAACAAGAACAAACTCCACACATGCCAGGGATTTGCACCTCACTCTGTATCACTTCAATTAGAGCTAAAACAGCTCAACCTGTTAGCGAGAAACAAGAGGGAACCATGCTGAAATAAGCCTGAGTCCACGAGCATACACAGCAGGGTGCAGAGATGTTAACTATTCTACCACACTTGTAGTAACCAAAAATTTGATTTTTTTTTCCCCTTTCTTAAATGGACATCTCCAAAATTTACAAGCAACTGTTCCTCATGGGTGTCTCTGCTGGAATTGCCTTTGTGCCATGACACACAGAACATTACCCTTCCCTTCCAGAGCTTGTCAATTTTTAATGTAAATACATTATAGATCTGTTATATTACGCCTTGCAAAAACATATTTTGAAAAGGTTTTCATAAATGGAACCAGAATCATGGCCACACAACAGTAAGAAAACATACCATCTACAAACACTGCAGTCTTAGATCCTTCCTACGTTACCTAGAAGGGAGTAGAAAGGGATCGTAATATCAGAACATGGCTTCTCCTTTCCCTTTATAGTTTAAAAAGTGGTGCAGAGACTTTGCAGCTTGGCAGACACTCATCAAAATAGACAACATATTCAGTTCTCTGCAACTATTTTAATATGGAAAGGTCTCATACACATTGCAATAGATTCACAGCAGGTCCTTCAGAAATATTGTACCTTTAGTACCTTTGAGTAAACAGAGGACTTGAGAAGGAGAAAAATGAATACAACAAGCAATCCAAACAAATTTTAAAATAATTTCACGAATGGTTTCCCTTTCAGTAGGATAAAAAACTCTGGCTACTCTCTAAAACACTCTCAACTGATAGCTTACCTATTAGACAAAAATTAGTGTCCATTCAGCCATGAAAGAGACAAGCCATTATATACTATGAGAGATCAAACTGACATCAGCTACCGTACGTCTTCACACTTGCTACATAATCAAAGTAAACTTTGCTATATGTGTCTGATCTAATGTACCTGTCAGTTATCGCTGTCTCTGCTCAGATGAGTCCGTGTGTCACCTATATACGTGGGACAAAACAAATAAACAAATTGCAATGTTATCTCTTCAAGCTGCTCACGCAGCCAGGGGAGAGTGCTTAGTATTCAGTAATGGAGTTAGGAGTAATTTACTGAGAGATAATTTCTTCTGGACCTAAAATCTCCTGCCTCCTGTAGTGCAGACAAATAGAACTATCTAACAGGAAATGGGGCATGATAATACCGCTCTTTAAATAGAGCTAACAAAATGGAAATACAATAGGCATTACAAAATACACAGCTAACAGTTATCCAAACCTTTGATGTTTTTATAGCTATTTATTGCGAGAAAGCATATTAGCTGCCCCATCCCATTTTAATACAAGAAAGTTTAACGTGCTTTTTTAAAACTCCTTTAAGAGAGCTACAACTAAAGTCACGGTCCAGAGTATCTGGGGACAGTTAGTACAAGGAGGAAAAGCTACCTTGCTGACAAAACAAAGCTCAGCAATCCACTCCAACAGCAGCATCGAGTGGAAAACCGTAGCTGTAAAAGCACCCATTGCTTAAATGCCTGTGTATGGGAATTGTTGAGTCATGGCCTGAACCACTGATTGATCACCTGAGGCAAGGACTGGATCAGCCATAGGAGCACAGGTGAAGACAATTCAGCTGGGTGATTTCCTAGACCCCATTTAAGGGCTGACCACCACTGGGGAAGGATCTCTTTCTGGAGAGCCCTCCTTTTTGGAGTTTTCCAGTGCAAGCCTACATCTCAGATACAGGTAAGCATTTCTTCTTCAATTGTTTCTTTCCAACTACAACACCTGTGATGTGCCATCCTAACCATACTACTTTTCCATCCCCACAGCCCAGCTCTAACCTCCCCGCACCTGAAGAGAGATGCTGCAGGGTGCAGTGCCTGGGATGCTCAGCTGGGCCTTGAAAAAGTAATGGTAACTGTGACTGGTCCCCTGCACCTCCCACACCTGGAGCGAGACGTACCATCCTTTTGCAGCACTTAGTGCTGCCCACAGCACCCAAGGCTCAGAACTGCTGGGACACGCAGCGCTTCAGGAGGCAGCACCCAGGGCGCCCTCCTGCCTGCCGGAATGATCTGCTCTGTCAAAACAAGGAGAAATGGCAAAATCAAGACTGACGGGGCCCTTCTCACTGCAGCGCTGTTTCTGTATCGTCTCTGGCACTCTGGGAGAAGTTGTAGATTTTGGAGAGCTCTGTCACAGAACTGCAAATCCAGTTCTTAAACAGATCCAGTTCAGCACACTCCTCTCACTTGCTTCCTGGCTTCGTTACAAAGAACACAGTCTATCTATACTACACAGCCAGTAAATGACTTTTTTTCATAATATATGTGTTATTCATGCAGTAGACATTCTTACTGCAATAGGAGTCAATTTTTCCTCACCTTCTATTTAGGCTGTATTTTTGGCACCTAAACTCCAAAAGGAACAGAGGAAGTCTGGAGGGCTGGGAACTGTGGCACAGCTCCTTGCTCAGAGTGATGGGGGGGGGAAATTCTTCTTCTAAGAGCCTGTCCCATCATGCAGCACACCTTTGTCTCTCGCCTGCAGCCCTGAAGACAACAAATCAAGGTCTTATCAGACAATTACATTTGTCAAACTGCTTTTATTTTTTATTTCCAGTCCTACTTAACCAATTAACACCCTTTTTTAATTCTGTTTCACTGTATTCCCACAATTGATTGCTTCAAAACCAGCTTGGTTCTGCCCTCCTTTTAGTCTTTTCTGTCCCAGGTCCAGCGATACCTCTAACCCAGAAAGAGAAATTATCCAGAAACAAAACTATCCCCATAATAGGAACTACCCAAACCTGGCTTCACTCTGTGTGTTAAGGACAAGTTCAATCACCAGAGCGCCAGAATGCTGCTTTAAAATCAAAATCTATGGGGTACTTATGCTGAACTTCTTTCTAGAGCATCTCTTCTGTGCTTTTGGTTGGTATCACTTCCTTCTCAGGGAACTTCTTCAGTATAACAAAACACTCTCTGTGAAGTAAGAGGGGGCGTTCTTTTCAGTGGCAGATATTTTAAATATTTCACTTTCCAAGTAGCTCTGTGAAGACAAGGAAGAAGTACATAACTTAAACACAAGGAGTCACTGACCCAAAAGTGATTAGCATTAGCTTAAAGCTTTCAGACCCCTTTTCATCTTATTGATTCTAAGCAGAATAAATCCGTAAATGATAATAGGGCTCAATTTAAATTACCTACAGCAAGTGCTGCTTTTCAGCTCTCAGCAGACAATCACGCTGTTCAATCAGCTCCATTCTGTATGTACAAAGCAAATTAATGCGTATAAAACAGTCGTAATTCAGGCCGGTTTTCAACAAAAGGCCCTTTTATGTAGCACACAACTGCCTTTTACTGACATGCTTTTAATTGAACCGATCACGTTATGGCCATATTCTACGCAATTATAGCAGAAAATACATACATCTTTCAAAAATACTGACCATTTCTTCCCCTCTGTAAAGCTCCCAAAGCATTTACCAGGTTCTCAGTTAAATCTGGACGCGCTTAGGAACAGCAGCAGGGCAGAAGACCACGCTTCTGAGTACTGCACAGCCAAGCGATGTCTCAAGGACAATTGCCACAATTACTTCAACACAAGGCCTATTCCTACCCCTTGAAGCCAGAGTCTGCAAACATGGCTCTCAGAAGCCAGTCAGAGACACTGCAGCATGCAGAATTCACAGAGAGGCTCCAACCTGGAGCAGGGTTTTTTCAAGCAACTCATTTCTGCTCCAAAAGGAATCCTTAATTTCTTTGCTTGTGCTGTGCTTGCATGTGTGACCAGCCCGTAAACCGTTGACATGCTGCTGAGATTACCAAGTAATTGCACGTCCCAGGAGGCCAAGGCAGTACTTGTTTAAAGAGTAAACTCCTAGGACAACAGAAGCAGCAATGGCCAGAAAGAAACTATTAAAAGTTGAGCCCTGGCAAATACTTCTGGGTCACTTCAAGATGTTGCCCAATGGAATTCTCTCTCTGATGGACAGAAGCACCAGCACTTAAGGAGGGCAGATGTCTGTGCCATTTCAACCTGGATGGTTTAGCAGAGCCAGCAGGGCACCAGAGGTGATGGAGCAGGACAGAGCACAGGTGTTTCATTTCCACTTTGACATTGCCAAGTCCAGACCTCACCACAGGCAGGAAAAATCCCATTAACAATTTCTACAGTCTTTGCAAAAAGGCCTCAAACCAAGGCAATAGCACTTGTTCTTTAAGAACACACATGCCATACCATACATACATACCATACACACAATAGCAGACAGCAAACTGCATCACATCTGAAATTAGCTATGCCTTTAGGACTTATTTTGGCACGGGGAGAATGCCACCTGTAGAACATTCCCTGACAACTAGTCATTTAATTACCAGGCTCTTCTGACAAGTTTGTATGCCACTGTGCACAGTATCCCCACCAGGGGTTTTGCTTGAAGCACTGTCCCCCCATTAACCAACTCTTGGAAAGGGTTGTTAATAGCAGGACAAGGGTTTGAAGTTGAGGGAGGGAAGATTGAGGCTGGATGTCAGAGGGGAGCTCTTTACTATGAGAGCGATGAGGTGCTGGAACAGCTGCCCAGAGAGGCTGTGAATGCCTCATCCATCCTGGAGGTGTTCAAGGCCAGGTTGGATGGGGCCCTGGGCAGCCTGGGCTGCTATGAAATGGGGAAGTTGGTGGCCCTGCCTGTGGCCACCATAGGGGTTGGAGATTCATGATCCTTGAGGTCCCTTCCAACAACCCTGGCCATTCTGTGATTCTGTGAGCACCATGAATGCAGCCACTCTTACACACACAGCAGCACACAGCCAGGAACACCACGCAGAAAAGCAACTTCTTTCACCATAGACAAACACGCCTCCTGACCGACACACACAAAAGAAATCTAGAGTTTAAGCGGCTCAGCCGTGCCTCCTGCTGTATGTACAAACTCGCGTGGCATTCAGATTAGCAGCTGAGGCATGCTCCTGCTCGGTGCAATGGCTCTGTGTGCAATGACCTTCCTTTCCTCTTTCAGCACTTCCCCTTTCTCAAGAAATCCGTCAGGTGCTGCAATTGAAGTCTGGAGTCCAAGTAAATGGAAGCTTAATCTCTAAAGAGAAATATTTAAGAAGTACACTAAGATGTATTTACTGAAGATTTCACTAATTCAAATAAATCAAGATAAAATTACATACTAGACTGGCTACTGTCAGCTTTCTGAAAACCTCTCATTCAAAAAAAAAAAAAAAACAACCCAAAAACAGGAAATAAAAACAGCAAGTTCATTTGCCCTTCCCTTTGTGACAGGGAGCAGAGCTGACATGGCCGTTGTGGTGAAAGACATCCCTATTTAACTACTTGAAGAAATTCACATTACCACAGCGTCCTTTTAAATCGCTGCACTTATGTCCGCCACATAAGTTGCTATTAGCAACTATAGAAAAAAAAAAGGTACTCCTTACACTGCTGTCTTGAACACAGCAACGGTTTATTGGGTTAAATTCTTTGGAGTTACTTTCACCTGATATCTGAAATAAAATTAAAACGTTACCCCTGAAAACCTACTACTGCTTTCAATATATTTATCCTCCACTGTAGCTGACCTTCCAAGCTATCAGAGCTGACAAGCTATCTCTAAGTCTTATACTAAAAAGTAAAACAAATCTCTGCTACAATGCTGGCTTGCCACTTGCATTTCATCTTCCAGCACACTGCTAAGATCCTTATGTTGAAGTGACTGATTACAATTCTGTGGTTGTGATGTTCCTGTTTGCCTTCCAAAATGGTACTCCTTCATATACTGCTCTTCCAAATTTGTACCTCCATCAAGACCTGAAGTAGACCACTTAGATGCTATGTATTCTAAGACAAAGCAAACATCTCATCTAGGACAGATCAAACACTGAGAGACACTGGCACAAATACTTAAGTAATGCTTCCCTAAGAATAAGAAAGCCCATCTGATGCTTACAGAAGAACTTCTAAAAATGTCTGCTTTACTAAATAGAAAACTGTCACTGAGATTTGGTAGGCAAAGCCTTCCGTTAAAAAATATATTACTGAAATACCAAAACGCTTGCTCCTGAAGCAGTTACACATTGTTAACAGAGTGGCAGTGTGGCACAAATACAAGAACTTGGGAACGCACCTGCAGACCCCCATTTACCCTACTCTTCACACAACACTATCAACTGAACAATTTGAGGAAGAAAAGGTGTAATCTGGTAGTGCTGTAATGTTAAGAAAAAAAGGAATAGATACAAAAAGCCAAGTCAGGAAGAAGGATGGAGGGTCCTGCTTCCCATTCTGCTCAATATTTGGCAGGCTCCCCTCACCGCACCTTCAGTTCCTCCTTTTATGAACTGGGGCAAAACCATCTCTCAGGCTGGCAGGGACAGGTATGGGATCAGCCAGCTTCAGCACACAAACAGCACTGGGGCTCTATGCATTGAGATATCTAAATACACCCACCCAGCCTCGTTTGACTGAACAAGTTAAACAAAAGCTTCAGACAGTGGAGTTCTTTCACTGATCTCATTACAAAATACTTACACTTGCTCTCCATCAATTTATGTCTAAAAACTGAACTTCTCACAGCTTCCCTTTACGAAG